CCATTCCAGTTCAGTAGTAGATGAAAGCCCCAGTTAAACAGCAGCGTCATCCAAGAATGTGAATTGAGGGTATAATTTTGGCATTTGTTAGACAGTTGTCCACATGATAAACATCTAGCATTTTTGCTGTTGAACTGAACAGAAACAGTACCTTGAATCATGGGACTATTCTGGCCTCTTGGCTGCTGACCCCAAATTTTCCATGAAATACTAAACTATATGAGGATGGCTTATCTTGTTAAAACAGTGCTGCTGTTTCCACTCACATTCTCATAATGTGTAGACTTGCTGAGGCTTTACGATGCCTTTTATCATCATTAAATCCATTTACAAGATCTGAAATAAGTAAACTTATACATGAACTTATTCCAATACTGTTCATTCAATTCATGTCCCCATATTTCTCGAAGGTTTTATAGCAGGGAAGATTGTAAGAGGGCTTCTTAAAATGTGAAGTTGTATGCAAAAAGTAAAAGGTCTCATCTTTAAAGGAACCAAAGAATTTAATACAAAATTCATTTGCTGTTGTTAAGCTAAATTTGGTACTGGGTAGGCAACATTGTGTTTTGCTCTTGGTGTTTGGTTTGGCTTTCTGTGTTGCTTGTTTTGGTAAGATGAGAACCGACCAAATGGCCGCGTCAGCCCTGGATGATTTTGCCCTTGTGTTGTCAGGCATTTCAGACATGACACATTAATTTTCCCTGCAGTAGCTTCACTGGATGATTGTGCATTGGTGCCAGAGGCTGTTCAGAAGGGTGTCCGATCCCCAAGCGTTGAACATCTTAACACCAACTCAATTACTGTTGATGGAGTGGGGGAGTCTGTATTTACTATATACAACTCTCAACGCACGTCACCAACTTTACCCAGGTGTGGGTAGAGAATTAAATGAGCCCATTTTGATTGCTTCTCAGGCTGGTGTGTATCCAACAGGGTCAGAGCCTCATTAACAAGAAGAACATGCAGTCGCAGACCAAAGGGATTCAGAAAGTGTAACTAATTGATGCGCGGGGATTGTAGGTCATATCTTCATGAGACACACAGCGATGACAGAGAATGATTTAATTCGAAACAATCGGCGTGCTTCATCCGCGAACTGCCACAGTGCCCCACTAACCTCTGCGTCGTAATAACCTCGGCTTTGGGTATCAATAAAGGATGCTGCCCTTTGGGATCCCGCAGGAGCGAGTGCCGTCAGCTGACAGATGAGAGCGCGCGGGGCGGTGGGGCTTCTCGCTGCTGCAGGAAAGTAGGTCATGGCCAAAAGGAGCCTTGGCTGCCTTTGTGGAAGTGTGCCTCGGAGAGAGGAGTCAGCTCAGAAAAGAGCTTGCACGGGTTTTGGGTTTGTTTTTTTAGCCCTTCCTTGCTGTGGAGCAGCTGGCACTGTGAAATGTGTCTGCTTTCCAGTATTCTTGCATAAAATATTTTTAGAAGTGAATATGCAGCTCTTACTTCTGCTTAGGGCAAGTGGCACATGCTTGTGGCCTTTCATTTTTGTAAAGGATTTAGAATTTTAGTTAGATCAAGTGTTTTTAATAAACATGGGGTTTTTTTCCTTGCTTTCTTTGCTGGAGATTGGCTGAAACTGGATGGTAGATGCGTGTTGGGGAAACTTGAGTTGGAAATAGTTCTGAACTCGAGCTGTGTGTGCAACATTTGAGCTCTCTTATGCTTTATTAATAAGTAAATAAAACCAAGTACTTTAACCCATTTTAGGACTCATTCACTCCTGCTGTTATTTCCTGTGAAGACTGGCACCTGTTTGTGGCATAATGGTCATTTCTATGGCAACAAACTGTGTGGTGGTGCTTGGAAAGCTTTGACGTCTGATGGAGAATAAATCAAAGCAGATTCACCCACATGCAAGATAACGCTGTTTTCTTGTGAAACTAAGAACTTGAGAGGAAAAAAAATGATTATACAGGTTTTCTCTATGATGTTCTTTCATAGTTTGCTGTGTAACGTGCAGGTCTTCCAAAACTGGACCCATGGGAAGTCCTGGCGTGTGGGCTGGAGTCCCTCTGCAGCTGCTCCGTGTTCAGTTGGCCGATGCTTCAGCCCAGTCCTGGGCACAGAGCTGCTTTTGTAAGCCACAGGAGTCCTTCGTAGCAGATCATCACCTGGTTTTGCTGTTTGGGCGCTCAAAGCTTTTCTTTGACAAAACACTAAATCCCCCTCCTGTCTTGCCATGCATTAAGACATGTCAATGAACCTCTCAAAATATTTTTGAGGTGTTACCCTATTTATATTTCCCCCCCATATTTTCTCATGTACAACTCCTGGTCCATTTCTGTCCCTTTTCATAAATACCTTGGACAAACACCATCCTTTATCAGTAGTTGGAAGTTCTCTGGTGACATGGCATGGGAGGGCTTGGGTGAGAAGCTGTTGCCAGCTGAGCTGAAGCGCAGAGCTGCTCCAGAGGCCATGAGCTGACATGCCAAGGTCACTTCGTCACCATGAGCTTGACAGGAGGCCAGTCTGTGGCAGGAAAATTCTATAATGTTCGTACAGCATTTCAGTAGAGTTCTCATCCTGGAAAAAGACTCCAGGAAGTACGTGTGTTTCAACACCTGTATGAAAATCACTATGTTTTTAAATTTATTGTTGACATATGAGACTGTGTAAGTGCTGGTCTCTGTGGGGAGCAGATTCCAACATGAGCAGCTGATGCACCATGAGTAACTGATGCTGAAAACTAACCTTTTCTGTATTATGGAAAGAAGTGACCTGAAATACCATACTATTGCCCTGGCTACGGAGTAAAAGTCTGAGGACTTGGCAGCACTTCTAACAATAGCTCATATGTTGACAGATGAAACAGTGTACTGCAGCTTTTGCTGCCTTTGAGGTCTGTACAGCAGTTTATTCTATCTTTTCCACTAAATTTCTGTCAAGGTATGAATCTGAATCTTAAATCATGCTAAACTGTTTCTTAGGGAATTGTTTCAATTTTTGTTTAAAGATGATCTGTTTTGGGGATAGCTCAAGTCTGCCAGGGAGATAATTTGAAGAAAGGCCTTTAAATTATCGATGTTTCCAGTGGTCGTATTTCTAAAGAAGCTTTATCTGGAACGTAATTTTTGGGCTGTTGCACGACATGCGCACAGATGGATGCTGCTTTGTGTTAATAAGTTGTTTAGGCTGAACAGATCTGTCCAGGATCATATGCTCATTTTGGCAACTCCACTGTTCCCCTGCTTCTTTGACAATTTTGTTCTAGTAAGAAGACAAATAAGTGAATAAAGCTCTGCATTCACTTAGTCATTTCAGAAGCTGCCGTTGCAATTGCTGTCTTTCTTTGTACCCCAGCAGTGTGCAGGTGTTGGGGTTTTGGGGTTTTTCTTTGAGAATTCACTTAAGGAAAAACAGCAGCACTGGTCTTCTGTCGCCTAACTAAATATAACCTACCCTGGCCTCTTTCTTCCCTTCCTATTCCTGCTAGCCCTCATTGCTCTTTTTGCTAATAAATTAGAGAGATGGTTACCTTTCTGGCAGCAAGCGAGCCTGCCAGTTGGCTGAAAACAATTTGAGAAGTGTCTTCCTATAAATGAATGAGTCCAGCTGTCATAACGCGTACTCTCTGAACCAAGAATATGAATTTTGATTAGGCAGAAAAAGCCCACTGAGTTAGTTTTGCATGGTTTTGTTATCACTCTTCGCCATAATGATTGAACGAGCTGTGTCGGCACCGCGGCTGGCAGATCTCCACTCCTGGCTGTTTATAACAAACCGTCTGGGTTATAAAAACCTCCCTAATCTGTTCAGGTGTGTGTTGGAGAAGAGAACCAATTGTTTCTTTTAAAAGGTCTGTGCTGTGTGTGCTCTTAACAATCAATGTGGCAGTGAAACTGTCCCTGACAGCTGATACAATCAAAAGTTGGAGTTTTTTAATATATGTGTCTGGGATCTTGACTCAGCCTTGCCGCTTGCTGGGCTGGAATTTGTCTCCAGCTGGGTGCCCCAGTTGGGCGCTACCTGACCGTCGTGCCGGGCTGTGCTGGTGGGGCGACCCCGGCCGTGGTACACCGCGTTGTGCTAGCGGTGTGCCCAGGTCACCCACTGACCCTGCAGAACAACTGCCCGTCGTGTCACTGAAGTTCCACGGTTATTTCGGGTGGGCTTGAGGCTTTCATGTCTGAAGGAAGGTGGCAGGGAGGGAGCAGCCCGATTGTCCAGAAGTGTTTGCTGGCCTGATAGCTCTTCCCTCCCTGTGTCAGAAGGCCCCACCAGCGAGGGGGCAGCAGAAAGACGTTGTAGACATTCTTCTGATGGAGCATGAGAGAGCAGGAGCTAGCTTAGCTGCGGTGTCCTCTCTGGGGTGGGAGAATATTGCCCTCATTGCAGCAGCCTGTGGGACCTCCCGACCTCGGCTGCCATCTCGGTTCCCTCTTCCGTGGAATTGCTGCCTGGGGATGAACTGGCCCAAGATCGCTCCTGGGATGGCTTTCGTGTCCCCAAGTGTGTCTCCAGGGAATTTGTGCCCCCATTTCTCTTCATTATTGTGAGTTATCATGTGGGCTCTGCTACCCATTTCCTAAAGTAAAAGAAAAATTACAGTTACTTGAGAAGAGGTGGTGAGCTTGATTGCCAGAATGGTTTGCGGGCTGGATGACTTTCATCAGAGGTCCCTTCTGAATTGTCACGTCTGATCAGCAGCAATGATCTTTGCCTCTTAGCTTTTCATGCAAACTCCCCTTTGAGTTTGTGCAAAGACAGAGTGGTGCAACTTCTCAAGCTCATCCACCCTGGTCAGCACTCTACGGTGTCAAGCTACAACACTGTAAATAAACATATCCCTGTTCCCAGGCACGGTCAGCCGTGTTTTTGTGGACTGTCTATGACTTAAATTCCCAGGGTTCTGATGATTCAGACAACTTGCAATATATTATTAATAATTTGTGTACTATTAAAATACTAACACTGATGTTACAGTTTCTTTTTATTGCCACGGTTAGATTCTGTTGTGATTAATTTTTTTAATGCTTCATTTTCTTTAGAAACTAGATGCCAAATCACTTATAAAGCTGAATTTTGCTAAAAACAGTGAAGGTAAGTGCAGTAATTTTCTGTGTGTTTTTGTTTTGTTTTGTTTTGTTTTTTCTTAATGAGTGCTTTAATAAAACCTAGTTTGTCTTACTAATGGTAAAGTTACATAGTTTGTGTTTTCCATCACAGTTTTTAATTTTTGAGTGGAATAATGGCTTCTTGTGAGTGACATGTTTACCTTTAAAGTTCCAGTGTTATTTTTCTTTACACTAGGGAGCTGCAAATTATTCAGCAATTTCACTTTACTATAGCTACTACTGCAGTAAGGTACTGTTTACTTTAGGGAAAATTTTCAGAAAAGACTAGATTTCTGTAATATGTTATGGTTTTTTCCAAGTTGCCTGTGGCATTATTTGTTATTCACTTGATTTTGAGCAACTCTTTGCTTGTAAAATGATTTAGACTTAAATGAACATGTGGGATTTTGTGAATAGCAGCACACAAGAAAGCAGCCTCGAGGTTTTTTCTGTAGGGTTAAAGATATAAAATCTGTCATCTAAAAGAGGATGCTAGGAATTAAAGGGAAAAGTGGGGGTGAATTAATCTTTTACAAGACAGAAAATTATTTATTTGAAGTGAGAGTGGCAGGGATTAGGTGGGAATAAAATTCCAGACTGTCTGTGTCCTTTTCTTATCAATAGTCACTAGACTACAAGGTCTTTAGCTGGTAGATTTCTTCAGTGTTTCGTCAATATTTCTCAAGAGCAGGGTGTTAAAAATGATCAGTAGTGGCCAAGGTTTTTGAAGGATACTGCAATATCGTGCTTTCCTGAGACAAGTCCGGTTCAGAATGCTGGGACAGGGAATGATGGCAGCCACGCAGGCTCAGAAGCCTTTTCCTTAAAGAGGTGCGTGCTGTGTCATTAAGTGATCACGGGAAAATGCACCAAAAGAGGAAAAGTAAAATGTTGCATTTTAGTCTATCAGCAAACTTTTCTTTAAATCTTAACATGTAGAGTGGTTGCTACATAGCAAACCATACAAAGAAAAAAAACCCAACACACAGAAATAGGATCTTCTCTGTTCACACCTGTATAATAAAAAAGGTCTTCACATATTGCAGTTTCTTCCATTTAGTGGACCCTCCTTAGCTGAATACCTTTTGTCCAGGTCAACAAGTGCCCTCAGCAGCTCTGCTTTTGCTAGAACTGAAAACATGCCAATTTGCTCTTTTTGAAGCAACTGGAGTGAGGCCTCACATCTTACCAGTGTGTTTCTGTATCCATCAGTTGGGCCATACCCTAATGCCACTTCTAGAAATCCCTTTCTAAACTTCAGAATTTCTGAACTTCTGAATTTCAGACCCTTGTGGTAACAGCTTTCCTTCAGCTCTGGTGGCATCAACAGAAACAGTCCTCAGCTTTTAATTGCATCTGCATGCTGGAGGTCGGGGTGCCTCCTCTGGCTGATCAGTGATCGGTAAATACTCTGTAGGTGCTCACCTCTCCTGTCTCTGCAGGTGCTGGGAGCAGCCTCTGTTCTGGTCTCCCTGCTGGGTTTGATTTTCAGATGGTAATTAGGAAAAAAAGAACCACATAGGCCCAACCTATTTCAAAAATCTCACCCAAACCCCCAGGTCTAGCAAACTGATCAAGTATTAATAACCTTCTTCTAATTGCTTTCTGCTGAGATCATCCAGACATTTTTCTTTTTCCTCATAGATTGCCTTCCATCAGTTTGCTTGTTGTTGACTTGCTTAATATTTATGCTGACCCTCCTGGGAAAATTCACAGCTTGATTAGAGCAGAAGCTGGGTTCCTTATTGAATAACGTGCTCAGATTTAATGGCAGTCTGCTTGCCACATTTGAATACAAAATGCTCTCTTCTCCTAAAAGCACAACAGCTACTGTGAACTTTTTCGTTGGATGTAAGCTAAACTTTTATTCCTGGGGACAGCACTGAAAATAGAGCGCTGGGCATGTTACGAGGGACAGGCTCATGCTCTCAAATAGAGCTTTGATTACAACGATAACAATTATATTGTGTTACTTCATAGATATCAAGCAAATTGGACAAAGTTGTGTGTTGAGGGATTGAAGGCACTGATTGCAAAACTGCATTTTTGTAGTTTGCTTTAGAATTCTCTTAAGTGTTACTTTTTCTATTTGGCACTGAAGAATCAAAGCATAGTTAAAACACCATTAAATACACACTAACGTTACACTTCATTTAAAAAAATAATGTAAATCAGGTATTTCAAAAAAGTTGCAGTGACTTCATGCCATATTTAAACTTTTTTCCCCTTCATTAGGTAAATACCACTGTCCAGTGCTGTTTACTGTATTCACCAATAACTCCCATATCGTGGCCATCAAGACAACTGGAAATGTGTTTGCCTATGAGGTGGGTTCACTGTTGTATTTCATTATTAATATTTTATACTTGATAGATTTCATTCAAAATCACAAAATGCTTTAGAAAGGTAGGCATATTTTACTGTTGTTCTACAGCCAGGGAAATTAAAAGTACAAGGACATGAACAGACTTCACAAATTGTTGCCTGACTTTTGCCTTCAGAATTCGAACAACCCTAGAATATGATTTGAAAGTTATTTTTAAAACCTTTTCGTAAGTTCATCTGCATGCACTGAATCTTGTATACCAAAATGAGTAGCTTTTATATGCTCCTTAGTTGAATTAATAGACAGATCTTCTGTTGTCTTCTTTGTGATACAGTCATCACCAAAACACAAATTGCCTCATTTCTATTCATATCAATGAATAAAAAAGAGTATTTAAACTGGAGCTGGCGAAAGAGCAGAGAGAATGCCTTAATGGACACTTGAACTGCATTTTTATTTGTGTTTTGGGAACAGCTGTGTGAACCCAGGTGAATTTTAGTTGTGACCTTGTTTGCATAGTCCGTACTGTAAAAGCAAGGTTTATTTATTTTTCAGTAACAAATAAATCTTCCAATTAATTAATCCATATCCAGTGTTGTAAAAAGTCTGAAGACTGCAACATCTGCTTTTTGAAATCTGCTGATGGGAAATCCCATCAGGACTTTGGAATACTGAGAGAGGAACAAGTTGAAAGCATTACAATCAAGGAAGAGGCTGGATTCATCATGTTTTTGAAAACTTGCTCTGTTGTAGTTGAACTGTCTTCAGTCCAGCTGTGAGAGCAGTCAAGAGTAGGTGAAAATAGAAAATATTCTCTGTTCCTTCTGGAAGCACGATGTTTTGGTTGCTGTGGTTAAAAGGCAAGAATGAGTTTAAGAGTAGCCTTTGTTATACGCTTGCTGATATTGTAAAACTATTGCTCAGTTTGCTACAATTTCTAATATTGGGATTCCTAAACAAGCTGTGCCAAGAGGGTTCATTTCTCATGTGGTGTTTCAGTTGAAGCAATAGCACTCGGCGGTTTGTTATAAGCACAGAATTAATTTACTAAAAAATATAATCCCTTCCGTCTGAGGAAAATAAAGGACACTTGGGTGAATAAGATAGATTCCATTTTTTTGCAGGTAGACCTCCATAGTCGACTCTGCATGATGTGTTTGTTCGTGACAGCAAAGCATTTATTCCGCATTGATTCTCACTCTGAAATAGCACACTGCTGCTTTGTTGAGCATCATTTAATTTTCTCAGGTGAACAGAAGCGTTGCTGCAGGCATGGTGCAGCCGTCAGGGCGGACAGAGCACAAGGGGCTAATGCAACTGCTGTTGGACGAGCTGGCCTGGGACACGTGTGTCTGCCAGAGGGGTGCTGACAGTGGGGGAGATGTGGGCCCCTTGTTAAAGCTGCTTGTCTTATACTGTCTGTAAAGTACTTCACTTAGAAAACTGCAAGCAAGATTTTTCAGTTTTATCAGTACTTTTATGATGAATTTGTTAAAACGATATGCATAACAATAGAATGGAGACTGCAAGGTTCTTTTTTTTTAAAAAAAAAAAAGCAAACCACACAAAACTTGAGTTTTGTAGGGATGAAAGACAAAAGCTTCTCATCTGTTAAAGCACACAATGGAGATATTGCGGCTGCCAGTTGAGAACGAAAGGTGAAATTGTTTTCTTTGTCTCTTGTACTTTAAAGTTGTATTGGTATCGCATATTTACTTGTAATAATTACACATTACAATCCAGTTTTTAATATCTGTGAATTTTGCCTGGCCGTTAGGCAGTTGAACAGCTGAACATAAAACCAAAGAGCTACAAGGATCTTTTGACAGATGAGCCCTTCACTCGGCAAGACATCGTGACGCTGCAGGTAAACTTTTCTCCCTGTTACGTGTCTTGTCATACCTATTTTTTGCAGAGGATGAAATGTTGCTATGTACACTGTTGCGGCAGGAATCCAGAGTAATTGAACAGAGAAACATTGTCTGTGTGTGCGTCTTGGAGATGGCTAGGAGGTGAATTGGTGTGTTTTCTTTGTTACCCAGATGAGCCACAGAGATGCCGTATAACTTAGAGCTTGACAAATCTGTAGAGTGATTATTGTGTGCCTTGTAGATAAGCAGGTTGTTGAACTTTGTAAATTGAAGGAGGAAAAAAAAAGGTGCACAGAAAAAAGTCAAGGATGCCATGTTAAAATGGGATTTTTGACAAATGTATTTGCAGTTGCTCACTATTTCAGTGTATCCAACTGAATAGAAGATCTTGTGCGTAATTGTAGGTTTTAAATATAAAACTACACATAAGATTTTGGGTTTTTTCTGTTAATCTTTAGATGAAAATTGCTGTGACACTTCTGATTTATTGTGAGACTTAACAGAAGTGCATTGGGAAAAGACTGGGTAGAAGAAAGGGAAAGATATGTCCAGAATCATCTTCAGCTCTAGACAGCCAACGGTGCATGGTCCATGTTATCAAAAGAAACATGAAGAAAAAAGAATGTGAAGTATGTAATCTTTTAGGAAGTGGACATGTTATGTTAAGACTGAAGTTGATTGTGCATCTTACTCTTTTGAAGATTCCTAAAAGAGTCAAAGCTTCAGAAAAGCATTTTTTACAGAATGTTTCTCTAAATGTAGAATAAAATAAGCATCAAACCAGAGGATTTTCTTTAACTGCTTGCTTAGAATTATTTTCTTCTCAATAGATACCAGTGTTGGTCTTTTACTGATTTTAAGAGAATTAAAACCTAAATTGAAACAGCATTGTAAATGTCAGAGTGTAGAAGATACTTATTTACAGATGTAGTTTAGTATCAAAAGATCTAAAACTTTTGTTTAAAAGTAGGCATTTTTAAGCTTGCATGATTTCAAAATAAGGAAAAAAAGATTCCAGGTTCATTGTTACTGGAGTCATGAGTTAGTATGCATCTCATGAACAGTTAATTGCCACTAACCAAGACTAATGCAGTCTAATTTGAATAGAAAAATATTTTTCATTGATGTCTAAATTTAAATGAAATGCATCCCTTCTTCCCTACTCCCAGTGCTGAACAGCGTGTTTATAAATATTTTTCCTCTATTCCTTTGGGCTTATGGCTCTTCAAGCTAATGCAACAAAGTAAAATGTTTTTAATCCAATGGAAGCAAAAACCATAGCTTTTTCAGATTGTGAAAGCTCAATAGAATGTTACTTGAATGTAACTGCATGATTGCTAATGGATTTGGAATGGTAAAAAAAGGCAATGTGAGTGACTAAAATGTTTCTGTGCATCAGTATGGAAAAACAATTTTTTTTTGACAAATAATTGAAATGTGCAGTCATTTAAAAATATTTTTGTATGTTTTGTAGGTTTGGAATTGAATGTATGTATAAAGAGTGTGTTCCTGCTACTCTCCTAGCCTTGATTTTTCACAAAAGCAAACAGATTCCATAGTGCCCTAAATCTCAAAATGCAATAGCTAGCAATTCAGATGTTCCCTATGTGGATTTTTGTCAATGTTTTTCACCTTCATTCTGTTCTTGACATGTTGGGTTTCTGTCTTGCTTAGAGGAATATGTCCGTTAACAGAAACTAAGTAGGTGATGATAGGTGTGCCGTCACTGTGCCAGCTACGCAGAGCTCACGGCCATACGTAGCCTGTACCTTTCTTACGTCCATTTAGGATGATGTTCATAATGTGTGAGTAGAGTGTTCCTCCTAAATAAACAACTCATTATGGGTTGCTGTTAACTGAACTTCTGTAGAGTGCAATCTTGTGGTATACTCTTCTCAAATAAATTTAGAAATAGCAAAGCTGCCCCCATTTTGGGATTGGACTGGAAGAGATTTTGACCATCCGAATGCTGTTAACCAGCTGAAGTTTCACCCTTCACCCAATTAGTTTTAAAATATTTTTTTCAAAAAGTGATTTTCAAGAAGCAGGTTAGAATGGCTTTGGGGTGCTAAGCGAGAATAGGAGCCATTTAGTGCGCTGCACAACACCCGCTGCAACCTGCATGTAAATTGTCAAAAGTCAGACCAATGTCTCCTGTACAAGCTCCCTTGTTGACAGCACTGCGGGCGGCTTGGTGGCTTCGCGCTGCCAGGCTCTGCCACATGGGGCTTTGTTTCTTAGCCAGAGTTCGTGACTGCAATCTGTTGTGTTTCAATTTGTGGCTCTAGAGCTCTATCCCAAATCCTGCTTCTCTTAAAAACCTTTCAGTGCTGTGTTGAAATTTATCATTTTGTTGTTTTTCCATTCCCCTGAATAAATTGAGTACTGTGGTGTCTGAGAAGCTGGGGTTGAGGCTGAGTTGGTAACGGTGACCCTGCTGTTTGGCAGAAAGATAGATATAAAGGAAGGTGCTATAAAAACTTTCTTTCCTTTGCAAATAACAGCTGAATAGGACTGTCTGTAATAGCTGTGTTTATCAATAGAAAATAGCATTTTCAGAGGTTGACTCTGAATGTCCTAGGAAGCACACGGGGTACCTGTATTTGATCATGAAATACAACATGATAAATGGAAAATTTGAATAATGTATGTTTACAGATTATTTGTATGATCACATTTTTCCTTTTGATACATAAAGGCCAATCCTACAGCTGCTAGGGATGTTCTTTTAGCAGAATAGCAATTGACTTCAAACTTGACCTCTCTCTCTCCTAATGTATAAAATTAAAAACAAAGCCAAAAAAATCTGCTCTTTCCAGAAGAGAGAATTGCATTAAATTATTTGTTCTGTTCGTAGTGCTAAACATTATTCAAACACTAATCGTAATCCATCTCTGTTACCTTTTCTGGTAAGCGCCATCTCAGCTGGTCACTTTTGATTTTAGTGATAGTTATTTGTGTCCTATTGCTATTAAGTTTACGTGTTAAAAAGGACAAATTATTTTGGATCTGGAACTAAAAAAAGTAAAATTACAACTTCAGTTGTTAATAATGCTTAGATCCAAGAAGTGGTTAATGATGCTATCCTAGATCTATGATGTGCTTCTCTTTGTAAAGGAATCCGCAGTGCTTCCTGCACCGACATATCCAGAAATTGCTTTTTTCCCTGCAAATGCAAATGTCCTGGGGTAGAGCATGGCAGTTTTTCATCAACATATGGTGGTATTAGCCAGCCCCTCAGGGCAGGAGGTAAAGAATAATACCTTATCCTGGTGTGTGAGACACATTACCGAAACTGGAATGTAGTTACTCAGGCAAAAGATGTCATGGACTCTGGTTTAATATCTTGCTGATAATGACAGAAACACACGTGACATTATTCCAGGTGAAACCCTTCCTAGACACCATTAGTCTTAGTATGACTGTATTTTTTGAGAATGTAGCTCTTTACCTCCAGGCTGATATTTTATTTTCTTAGCTGCATGATCTTGCCACAAACTCAGGTCAAGCTTTCCATGTCTGACAGTGCAGGCTTTCTATCTTCTCTCTCCTTACAGTTTATCATTATTTCAGATAATTTTTCTCTGAACTATACTGGTTCCTATCTCTTCTAAATAGACTGTGGCTATTGTATTTTTTCCATGTTTCTCATAACTCTACACCCACTTGTATTCTTTCACCCTGAATGATGATCAGCTCAGCCTAGCTTAGCATCCCTTGCAAATGTCATGAATGTGCTTCCAGCTGACAGACAGCTCAAGTACTTCAAGATTTGTTAGTTATACTTAATGGGTGATGTATGATGTAAAGCACTCAGGGACAGCGAATTTGTAAAGGAAGGCTGGTATTGTTGAAGCTTGTTTGCACTGTTCTTACCTCCCTTTTCTGTTTCAAATTCTGGTATGTTGCTGTTTATTTTTTTACTTTGCAATTGTTTTAAAGGTAGGATTTAGTATGGCTTTGTAAGAGTTTTGATATAATAAGATTGCATTAGACTCTGAGAACCAGGTGATCCTTTCAGTCCTATGTTTTACAGGTTTTCAGCTAGTTTTCCATCTAAATGACTAACCTTGTTTAACCTAATTTGAAGTAATCATCCAAGTAAATTTTTGGGGGGTGTAATTCAGTGTTGGATCTCAAGGTCTGCTGTCCAGCATTTAACCTTTGCGACAAAATCTGGTCAAAACAGTCTCGTAGAAATTATGATTAATTATTGTTACTGTAAATTCCATGTGTGTTTCAATCTTATATTTTGCAAATTATTCTTTGTGTAATGATGTGGAACGTAATAGCAGGCACATAAATGGATTCTGTTGTATAACAGTGGGCAGGCTGAAGCAAGTGCCTGCCTCAGCTCAAGATGCATTGGGAGGAACAAGGTCAGGTAAAACCTTACTGGACACGGTGGTGGGCTCTGACAGCCCTGTGGACTTCTTCCCATCACAAGAAGCGGGAGACGGTCCTGAGGAGAGGGAAGTAAGAATGCTGGGATAGCTTGCTTTCACATCCCATTGGGTAGGGAGGGTTCAGAGGAACTGAAAACAACTTCAGCCAACCAGAAACCACAGCTCTCAAGTTTGTGAAGATACAGAACAAATTATCGCTGCTCTTGGAATCTCTTAGAAGCTATTGCTGGGCTGTGTGCTGGCAGGGAGGGGATTTAATGAGAAGTGTGGCTCTGCTCAGCAGCAGTTCTTGCAGGTAAAGCAGAGGCAGATGTGGTCTCTTCCTCTTCGTCGGAAGAATTGCTATAAACCCCCCGACCCTGTTGTGCCAGCAGTAATAGGCACAGTCCTCTGACGGCAGCCTGCTGAAAGCCTTCCCCAATAGATGCACGCTAACAAATGCATCTGCTTTACACTGCAGAAATGGAGGGGTGCTCCTGGGAGAAATAACTAGAGATTAAAAAAAAAGTCTGGTAGAATGCAAACAGGTTTTCTGTCGTTAAAGGGGAAAAAAAGGCTCATACTGTAATGTGCTTCCTTATGTCAGTTTTATTGTTTCTGTACAGCCTGATCAGCCATGGACAAGACACGGTTCCCGACAAGCTGTTAAACACCATAGGCATTTGTGGCAGGAAGCATAACTAATGAGCAAAGTTGGAGGTAGCTGAGCTGCACACTGTTAATTGATATTTCACTCCTCAGCTCTTTCTCGTTTGCTCTTTGTGTGACAGAAGGTCAGAGCAGATTTCCTCTCGGTTGTGGGTGAGGGCTCTTTGAGGACAAATCCTGCACCGGTGCATGTGCAGAATGGCTGGTTAAGAAGTGGCATGTTGGGCTGTGGTCGGCGTATGAGATGCTCGATCTCAGCCTTAGGGTGGGAGGGAGAGTGTGGTCTGGATCCAGAGAGAAAATCCAAAGCTGTAGGTATTCTTCAGCCCAGGCAAAGTTCTTGAGGACTCTTTGAGTTTTCAAAGCTTAAACGACAGCTGGTGATTGTTTGGAAAGCAATCATGTCATTTTATTAAAATAATTTGAGAACTTAAGTTTAACATTCCTCGAATCAGGCTTTGTCGTGGGAGATACTATGATTTTTACACTTCTATGTTTTGTTGTTTGAAGGTAACAGTCCTGAAGATAATTAGGGGTGCAGTATGGCTGACTAAAGGGTAAGAAAGGAGCCAGGCATCAAAGAAATCACACGGTCTAAAACTGTGCTGGTTTTAACCTGCTCTTCTGGGGAGTTGTGTCTATGGTGTTTCAGGTTAATGGGGTTTAAGCTATTTCCCTAAGTAGGTGAAACTGGAAAATGATTGGAAAAAAATAAGTGGAAAATAACCTTGAGATCAGTTGTTTTCAAAACTCAGCTTTCAGGAGAACATCAAATATGAGATTTTTAATAGTCACGATAGTTAGCGACCCTTTGAAGTCTGTATCCATGTTAGTAACGTGCTAAACTTTAACTTATGCTTTGTAACCTTAATAAGAAAGACCCTGAGACTGCCACCCATGGAAATTTGAATACATGTTTTTAAACATGCTAAGACAAACAAAAGTAGGCCAGTTTACTCTTTATGGTTCATTTTCCTTTCTGGTTTCTGTGCACTGATACAGAACTCCAGGCTTTTGGCTTTTAGGCCTTTGCCTTAGCAGGATTGGGAGCATCCCTGGGGCCCAGCCCTGCTCTGACCAGGAGAGGCCGTTAACTCATTGGAGCTCCAGGCTTTGACCATGTGGGTATGCGAATCTGCCCGTCCCTTCGGGGTCTCTGCTCTGATTCTGTGCCCAGTAACTGTCATGGATGCAACAAGAGGAACTTGGCAGGCTGATGATTAGTGTTTAGACAGTTTTCTTCCTGAAGTGAAGTGTCTGAAGAATGTGTGTACTTTTAAGATTTACATAGACCTACCTTAAAAAAATGTGTATCTGTGTTGTAGGGCTTGTTGCCATCAATAAGGAAATTCTTTGTGTCCTCTGCAGTACAGGCTGGACTGGTCAGATGTGTTTCTGCTCTTGGGGGTGGTGGATGCAAATGGTATCTTGTGTTTAAGTTGATATTCACCACGGGACTGTCACAATTAATGTGTGTGTGTTTATCTAATTCTAGTCAAACTTCTCCTTGTGTAACATGATGCTGTATTTTCAAGGGAGGGATCAGTATGTCAACCACTTGTCCTAGGTATCCTGTGCCAGATGACACTCAAATTTCAACCTGAGGATCCATTTTTGAGGCTTTTTCCACTGACAGAGGGAAGCCAGTTTTGGAGTAGGCGCGTGGGTTGTCTGCCTTCTCAATGCGTGACGGGGCTCCGGCTTTGCAGAATCAGGAGCACAAGGGACACCACTGTAAATCAAACCCTTGTTGAGGTTTCCGTTTGAACAAATGGCCCACCCAAATGTGACGAAGGACCCTGTGCAGAGGACCTTGGTCTCTGTTCTGGGGTTTGGGGTTGTCTCAGGTCTCTCAGGAAGCAGATGGACGGCTGGAGTCTCCAGGGAGAGGGAGCTGCCCTTTGCCTCTGATGTCCTTCGCACCATGATGGGTGTGTTCCCTATGGGCAGAAACCCCTCGCAGGGAAGAAGACTGTAAATGTTTTTTGCTGGAGTTGCTCAATGCCTGTGATGAGGCTGGTTAAGCCAGTAAACGTTTGAATGAACTGTGGCTGTGAAACAGTTTGAACTAATCTGAGTCGTGGTACCCTGAGCACATACCAGTTGGTTTCATAAGGCACTGGCCGTTGTGATGTCCTTTTATTTCTTTTTCAACAATCAATAAATCAGTCAATCAGGAAGCTTTATTTAGAGGAATATAGTGAAGGTGTTTTCTGGTTCATCTTTTCTGCTGTCTCCTGCCCTCCCTCTTGTCCACGAAAAGTTGGTTTCAGGCGTCAGTCTTGCCCTTCAGCTTTGCCACGAACAGCAGATGTGTGGATTGCTATAAATCCATTTGTCTCTATTAATATTAATACATAGATTATTTTTCCCCTTTCCCGGAAAGGGTAAGCAGTCTCACTTTCTTCACCTTTTGTGGTGGTACGTTTATGTGAAAGGCAATGATATCTGTCTGCGAAAGCTCGTGATTACTGAAGAGTATTTGGGAGGAGGAAACCTGCATCTTCTGGAAACACACCAAGCCCTTTCTCTAGATTTTCTCCATGCATCTTGTTGACTGTCAGAGTGCAAGGCTGAAATTATCTCTATTCATACACACATAAATATCTGTGTGAGGTAATAAATAATAAAAACACCTGAGTGCCGGTGTCAGAGGATCCAAAAATGGTAAAAAACAGGTCCAAATTTCCTATTCTTTAGTAGTTTTGTTTAAAGATTGTGTTTCTAATGAAAGATCTTAAAGATAAAATATATTTTTCTTTTTTTCTTTTTTCTATTTTTTTTTTTTTTTTGGCAGTCCATGTCTTAATGAAGCTCTGTTGGAGGGGTATAGTGGGGCAGGAAACAACAGAACTGATTACATGCTGGTTGGGAAAGGGGACAGCAGAAAGCCAGGAGGTCATCATTAGGGTGCAGAATCACACATCTTAATTTCATCAATGTGCTTTGGTTTTACTACTGGCAGTAAAACTAAAAATGCACTCTCTGGTGGAAGCATACCATTTCAGGGATGAATGAAAAGCATAATTAGATCATTTAATAAGTGATGGAGCTACCAGCTCTACTTGTATTACTCATTACTTTTAGCAGAGCTGGAATTGTTGGAACTTCTTGCCAACAGTGGTGGTCTGAGAAGCTTTTACAATTTATTGGGGATATTCATGTCAGTGTCATAGTTCTTTGCATAATATGTTGCTTATTTTTATCCTGAAATGGAAACTATTGCATATTATTAAGATATTTTTATATTTTAGATTTTGAATTGTTTTATGTAAGGTAGAATTTCCAGAAATCACTGGGCATTCTGAGCTGTGTTTTGACCTTTCTGTGCTGCAGAGGAGCTTGAGGACAAAACCTTGAAGTCATTGTAAGAAGAGGATTAAGGACTGTTTAATAATAATGTAATCTAACCTAGATCACCAGTAGGCATTCATTTTCTCACTCTAAGAAAAGGTCAAAGTTATGCAGAAGTTGCCTAGAGATAATATAAAGACTCACGGTGAATGGACTGTGTATTTTTGCTGTTTTCCTTGAGTAGTCCCTCAATAGAGTTTTCACAATACCACTTTTTGCTGTTTTTTAAATTTTTTTTTTCTGTAATTCTGTAAGCACAGATTTCACTATTTAAAAAAAATTACGATCAAAATATTCTAACTGCAAAGACTTGCTCTGAGGTTTCTTTGTATTTTGAAATGCATTATGAAAGTTCCCAGAGCATGTGCAGCTCAGGCACGCTGTTATAAATAGAAGAAGATAGGAAATGTGAATTTGCATAGGTCTGAGACCAAACCACAGAACGAAGGAGAGAATCAGGGGATTGCAGCTCCTCATCCTTTCTTCTCGCTAGGATACTGTAGACTCAGCTGAATTATGTTAGTAACTTCTGTAGGCAAAATATGTGTAATATTATATTTGGGACTAAATTTCAGACACCTAAGTAGCCTACTGTGAACAGGCTCATCGCTGATGTTGGTTGGGCTTGATTACTTTATATTTTTTTCATTTTTCTGTGGTTTGGGGAGTATGGAAGATTTTCTGTCTCTCTGTTTATTATGGTGGTGTCTGCCCTTCAAACTAGTCTGTTGCATGGAATGGGTGCCTAGCAAGCTCTCTGATATTTGGTTTTTTAATTATTAATTTCAGGATCCAACAAACTTGGATAAATTCAATGTCTCAAACTTCTTTCATGTTAAGAACAACATAAAAGTAATTGATCCAGGTAAGGATGAATTGAAGGTAGGCTGAAGAAACACCAGCCCAGATATGCAAATTTTAAAGCTGACGTTATGGAATTGACACTGTTTTCTGGATGGACATCCCTCGGTGGCTAGTGGTAGCTTTGAAAGCTTCTTGGAAACATGAATAACTTGTTGTGACTGTGCCTTTCACATCAAAAGGTGTTAACAAATTTTGAAGCAAAGGTATGATTCTTTGAGAAATCACTAACTGCTTCTATTGAGTGCTGTGTAAGCACAGAAAGCTTTCCATATCCTCTAAGAGTAAGTAGATGAGAGAGAATTGAGAAGAGGAAGAAAAATAATTTGCCAACAGGTCCATTAGCGTTGTAACAGAACCAAGACAAGGAAACCTATGTCTTCTCATACCTGTCTGTATTGCCCATCCCTCTGTCTAGATAACAACGGTCATCTTCTGAGTTAGAGATTGATACAGATTTTTCTAAAATAGTCCAGAAATTATTTGAATAATAAAATGCCTTTTTTCCTTTCTAGATATTGCAACTAGGAAATTTACTTCTCAGTTATTTTGTGATTCTTTAATAGCTAAATAGTTTATAATATCTGCTAATATTAAATTGCTGAAGGAAAAAAAATTCTTACCTTTGCCCTTGTGGTTTCCTTTAGAAATGTTTCTAATAAGGTCTAATTACTGATTCTAAGCATGGTGTGTTTTTCTGAGTCTTATTATGCTAATCTCTTTTGAAAAAAAAAAAAAAAGCTACTAGTTCTGTAAGCAAGCATCTCTCTTTCTATTTATCCACTAAAAATAAGTGGATATTATCTCAGAAATGGAATATATAGTACTCAGCAAATAGTAGGCATACCAAGACAGAGAACAAGTAAAACTTGTAAAAATAAAAAAAAAAAATTAAAATCAAATTCCACAGTCCAGTCCACCAGCCTCCTACCCCTGGTATCACATTAAAGATCTGATCTTGGGATTTTTGCATCACAGGCCTGGCCATTCAGTCAGGAGACAAAAGACAGAAATTTCTATTGTATGCAACTGTATCTTGTCTTTATCATTCTATAAAAATTTTACAAGATTTGTATGAACTAATTTCTAGTGGTTTCAAATAAATTTTTTGCAGCAGTTGATTTGAAATTGTTTTTTTCTTTTGTTATACTTCATCATATTGGCATTTATTGTGCTATATTTCAAGTTACACTGTCATTAGTGTTATGCATTGCTCTTTGTTACTGTTTCTGCAGGAATAAATATCGTTTCTAGACCTTTTTATTTAAAAAAAAAAGTAGAAGTAATATCTGGAAGATTTTGTATAACTAGATATGTAGTAAACTGAACAACCAAATTGATTTTTTCTTTTAATTGTGAATGATTTAACTTTGTCTTATCTAGATGCGGAAAAAGCAAAATTAGATCCATCTTACTATTTGAAAAATACCAACACAGAGACCCGGGAGACTTTACTGGAGCTTTATAAGGAATTCAAAGGTGATGATATTCTAGCAGCTACTATGAAGGCTCCTGAAAAGAAGAAAGTGGATAAGCTGAATGCAGTAAGTTGATTTAATTTGTAGTTTGACACTGATTGGCTTTCGAAAATGGTAATAGATGTTTTTCAGCTTAGAGGCCAAATTGCAGTATAAACAGTGTGTTTTCTGCTACATGGAAATTGGTCATAGGTGAGAATCTGGGAGTCATATTGGGATTCCTTAGAAATATGTTGGATGTGTCAGTGAGTTTCTCTTTCTTAAATCATTCTAAATGCACCTAAACATTTTAGAAATGGAGCACAATAAGGAGGAATCTTTATGATGTTGGCAGAACTTTTTTTCCCAGGTTGTAATCTCTTGCTTTGAATTTGTTTATCATTGCTTCCTGCAGTTATTGGCAGAGAGAACACACCTTAAGGGCAGTGCAAGTGAATAATTTCTGGTGTGGGCAAATATATAAATCATCCACAGCTGCTTCTCCATTTTTTCCACTGGAATGCAGGATTTTTAGTGGAATATTTTAAAGGATATTCTTCCAGGTACATATTACTGGGTGTTCATGGTTGTCAAGAGAAACAATTCATCTGCATCTAGATATCCAACATCAAAGGCTGTTTGAAATGGGCAAGACAGAGTATTTTTCTTTCCTCTCATAATTCTGGGCTATATATGTCTTCGTGCTTTGATTACACTTACATTAAAACGAATAGCAATGCAGCATATGTGTTTGAATGACGAGGCTTCGTGACAGATGAGGGAGTGTACGTGACCGAGGAGTAGGATCACATTTGCCCCTTTTTCAGGGCATCGTAGTGTTCTAAGGAAACAAAAGATGTAGGGAGGAAAAAAAGAGGTGAGAGACAACAATGAGCTCTGCACATGTTGGAGAGTCCGACTGTCAGCTAACAATGTGGATGGGCATGACTCTAAACCTGCACAGGATGCCCTGTAACCTTATGGACAGAGCGTTGGCCTCACCTGGAGTCTTTACAGCCGTCACCCCAGAGCCGCTAAACGTTATTTCCAGCTTTATTAGATCTTTGTAATTTACTACAAAATCCATGAGTGACATTCACATTTCCTTTCTGCGGGAGGATTACAAAGCTCAGAACAGACATTGGGACCCACGGGGCAGTGCCTCTGCACGCAGAAGAGCCGTGTGTGGGAGGGGGCTGGTTTGCTTTCCTCTGCAGTATCTCTGTGGTTCATTGGATTTTCTTTCCACTTACTCAGCAACATTGGAGAATTTTACAGATGTCTTGCCAGCAGTGCTCCTTTCATACCTCCACCTGTGGGCATACAAATAAATTCTGATAATAGAATATTTGCATAATGATGCATTAAACTGTAGTGGAAGCAACAAACCCTTTCAGCTCAGCGCATGGGCACCTTAACTAGAGCTTCCTCAGAGCGAATGTTATGGATAACAGATGGAGAATTATCGCTGCATCGTGCATTTGTTTCTTTCTATAGGAGCTAGAGCAGAAAGTTTGCCTTCAGAAGGATGACATTTGTGTGTTTCTAGTGCTTATGTAGTACCTTTAGTAGGTAAATTCCAAGATCTAATGTCTTTTTCTCTTGCTCTTTCCTCTGCGAACAGGCTCACTATTCCACTGGAGCAGTAAGTGCTTCCTTCACCTCCACTGCCATGGTGCCTGAAACTACCCACGAAGCAGGTACCAGAACCACTTAGCTACAAGCTGGTTATTTACTTTCCAGTTTTAAGGGTGCTCCCTAGCACACGTACATTTACGAGGACTGAAGGAATGCATTGATAATTGGTCAGTAATGATGCCATAAAAATGTATTCCCTCAGCAGATGTATCCTTACTTTCCAGTGAGCTCATTCTGAAAATAACGGAGCAATTATGGGTTAGCTTTGGCTTTGAATGGCAGTTACTTACGTTGAACACAAAATGGGATATCCACATATGTGAGTTAGGAATGAAGTTATCATCTCTCCTCAAATAGGATACAAAATCTTTACTGCCTTTTTGTCCTAACCTGGTATTGGTTAGAATTATAGCAATTTTTGTGGTGTTAACTTTTGATTTATTGCTTTTCAAGGTTACACAGAAATGCATTTTGGTACAATAAAGTTTTCCTTTTATTCTCCAGCCTAAACACAAATGTTTAGAATTTATCCAATTTGAATATTGATTAAATAGCTGAGCGATTAGTATTCCCAGTTGAAGAGAAAGGTCTGACTTTTGGCAGTAAAATTTAGACATATGTCACACACATAGGTGAAGATTGAATGCGTTGCTAAAACTGTGTTTACCAAGGTCAGTTCCTTTGCTTGGCGGATTATGGTGATTTGCAAGTGAATTTCTGACTGTTGAAAATATCTGACTAACTGGACATTTTGACAAAATAGAAGCGGAAACATCCTGGAATGATCCTTTTGTTTGACTTTCCAGTAATTTAGCTTCATGCATTTTCAGAACTGGGTAGGTCCGCACATGTCAGCAATTTGTGGTTGACTGCTGACTACCGGCTGGGCTTCCAAGTTTGACAAGAAACAATTTGGTTTCAAAGTAACGTTTGTGATTGGTAGACATTACTTGAAAATTGTAGTTTGTAATATTGAATGTTTCTGTGCCTTAAAAATATAGATTATACTGTTGGCTCTCGAGGAGTTGGTGGTGTTCTATAATGGAAAGTGTTTTGCACAGAGATTAATGTGAGGTTATCATAGATGAACAGCAGAGTACAATCCCTAAAGACCCAGTACCCCAGGGGAAGAGGTCAGACAGGAGAATCTAGCAATTTGTTTTCTGATGATTTCTAGAGATCAATGAGTTAGCTTCCACAAAGCTAATTATTGTCTTTTGCTTTGATACAGCTGCTATTGAAGAAGATGTTGTGAGATACAGCTACGTGAAAAAGAAGGGCTATGTGCGACTTCACACTAATAAAGGAGACCTAAACTTGGAGCTGCACTGTGATATGGTACTGTGTGCCCCAGAGGATGAGTCTCCCTAGATAACAAACGGAATGGGAGCTGGCAATGGGAGTGTCCAAAGAAAGGAACAGTGTGTAGTTATAATAGATACAGATAAATAACTAGCTTTCAGTTGGTTTTGTGTGTTTTCATACATACACAAAACTCCATTGTAAAATGTATATATGTTATTTTATGTATTATAGTACCATATATATTCTCTGTGAGTAGTCCCATACATTTTAGTGGACTGCTTGCAACATGTCAAAGTACGTGTTTAGGGCTTCAAAGGGTCAAGATTATACTGTCCCAAACGATTACATGGAAGTTAGAAATAAAAAAGAAGGAAGAGCAGAGAGAAGAGAGAATAACCCAAGGTTACACAGCAGGTTACTGGCAGAACCAGGAAAAGAACCTCAGTGAAACTGAGAGCAGTCTGTCAGTGTGAGTACATGTAGATAAGATCCCCAGAAATGATTCGATTTGCTTCTAAATCCTGAGCTTTACACAACAATCTAAATGAAAACCTTAGAATATGTTTTTTACTTCCTGCTGCCTAAGATTTTAAGGTTCAAGTTTTCAAACATCTTCCCTTTGCCATTAAGAGGTAAATGTTCACTTTAAAAAAACAATGAAGGAGAGTTTTTTATAGTCAATACAGTCTGATTCTGGGGGAAATCTGTGGCTCGTAAAATAATAAACATGGCAAGACTTATGACAGACGGATGAGTTGTGGTGACACTGATGTCTCAGATGCTAGTGTGTTTGCTTATTTGTATGTACAACCACATCTATAAAAGGAAAAAAGTTTAGAGTGTAAAAAGCCCCAACCTTCCGTTGTTCACTGAGATTTTTCTCTCAGAAGATTGTAGGCCTGAAGGTAGATGTTTTAGGAAGTTGAAGGATGTGAAAAGGGCAAAACTTCTGCTTCTTGTGACCCTCACAGAGTTTAATGACAGTGGTGCTGGCTAGGAGCTGGGGTGACTGGTGTGAAATCCAGAGATGCACTGGGAGAATGCATCTTTTTTTGCCTGGGAGAAAGAAAAAGGAGCAAACAGGACAAGCCTGCTAGCTTTCCCTCCTCTTCCTTTCTCTTGCACAAGTAAGGAGCAAGATACGTGTAAACATCTCGAGCTGATCTATGGAAACAGTGTGAAAATCCCCACAGCAGTGTATCATGCTAGTAGTTCCGTAGGTCCCTGTCATCCCTACAGGTGTTTCCCATGCTCTTAAATAGTAACACTCTGTAATAAGGCAAAAAGCAGAGGATGTTAGTACAGCAATATTTGGGGGAAGCAGCAGAATGAGCAGATTGCATTGAATCATTTGTTTTGCCATATGTTCTCAAACTGGCTCCTGGCTAATGCAGGCTCACTGCAGCTATTCTTACCAGTGTAGGTTTTTTGGCCACACGTGTGACCAGTGTCACTGAGTCCTGAGGACTCCGTCTCAATCGCCCATTATAAACTTCCTGTATGATACCCATTGTGTTTCCTTTTTTCCAGATGCATTCCTATTCCCTTCCCTGTCACACACATGCGAGTGTGCACTGCTTTACACAACCAGCCCCGCTTGAACACTGGCCTCTGGCCATCTGTTTCTTTCATTTCTTTGTGTTGATTAAATCTGCGTGAATTAAGCAGACCTTTGGCACTGGAGAAGGGAAGAAGATATATATTTAGAGTAAGTAGGAAAAACTTGCTGCTTTAAGGAGGTTTTCACAACATCCACTTTAGGTCATCATCCTAGGTCTGTTAGATCAGTTCTTCTGAGAGGCGCTTGTTTTTCTGTTTACTATATAAGGAGTTGGTGCTTCTAACTTTGGTTTTCCTGAATCGCACTGAGGTTAGGCACGTAAGGTCACTCAGTGCAGAGAGAGCAAACATCTTAACAAACATATAACACTATATAGGTCACAAACATCAACATAGAACAGCTGTATTGGATCTATTGAGATTGCAAAGACAGACATAGAAAATGGGGAAATGCCAAAATCAAGCATAAAGTTCACCTGCTTGTGAATATGCGTGGTAGTGTTCTTAATTAATCATATGCTGAGTTTATTATCAGCTCTCCAGTGCACAAACTGAAATGGTTTATATGCAGGATTTGGTTTTCCAGCAAAAGCGTAGAGTGGGGGTAAGGCCCTTGCTTACAGTCAGGGGGAATTGGACTGTATCATAATGCTGGCCCAAATCAATGTTGCACAGGCTTTTTAGTGCCTGACTTTTCAGCCTTTGTGATTTTTTGAACATAGTTGGCATGGGTAGTACCTTGGCTTTTCAGAAAGAAATGGAGTAACAAATTTCAGCCCAAAGCACTGTCTTGATGCACACTGAGATCACCAGGGACCCCCGGATTCAACACACAGACCTGTGCTGCTTGAGGGAATGAGAGAGACAATAGCATTAGGTTGTCACTGCTGTCTGAATTCAGACAAAGTATCTGTGATTTGGAGAATTCGTACGTCTACTCTCTCAAGCAGTGCAACTGCAGGAGCAGGTATATGGTTTGTAAGCCATATTACAGTGGTGCTTACCTTCTCTTTTTAAAGACTGACCACTGCCTGACTGGTTGTTGTCTGGACATGACCACAGGCTCCTTTTTTTAATTGCTGAGCAATATCCTGTGCTCTGGTTATTATGGAAGCCACCCTAGCAGGGGTTGTGTTTGCACAGTAGTGCAAATACCTGATTGTGAAATGCTTTAGGAAGCTTGAGGATGCAGTTGCTATATAAATATGACAAATTAATACCTGTGTCCGGAGGTAGGACTCGCAGCATTCAAATTACATTTCAAAATAGTCTTATGGGTTAGATTTCAATATGCACTTTGAGGTGAAGTCTTCCTGAAACAGAGAACAACAAGTGACGTCCTTGCTGTGTTAGGGTGTATGTCTACTGAGTTTTAAATTGTCTTTTCATGCCTATGGGCTGTATTTAAGCAAAATATTCTTGCAGTGATGCTCTCAGCAATCTGCACTGCCTCTGAAGTCTACCCAGTGTCTCTTTGTCTTCAGTACACCCCTTGGGTTCTTACTCCCTCTCCTCGCTTCACAGCTCCTCTGTCTCCTCCTCTTTCTTTCCCCTGTTTTTTGTGAGCTGTCTGGCAGCATGGATTGTTTGGAGTTCAGTCCATATGTACATGTGGAAACTTTTGTTTAAAAATAAGTCTGGGGATCTTCATGCACTAGTACTTTAAGGTGCCAATCAATAAGATTGATAGTGATGAGATTCTTCCTAGTACCAAAAACCTAATCAAGAAATGTTTTATATTGATCCAGGGGAGGAAATCAGTGCTGCAGTGTGATAGAAGTCATCAGTTACTTTGTGACAGGATTCAGAAAGCGAGCATGACATAGGGCTAGAATCCAGGTATTTTCTGTGTTTGAAATCACTTGTTCAGAGCACCAGAAAACTTCACTTAGGTTCCGGAAAGATGATGTGTGGTGTAAGTCATTGACCTGAGAAAAGGCAATAAAAAGACTTTCGAAGATAAGCTGGATTTTTTTCCACCTTTTTGAATTTGTGCCTCAAATGAGCAAAGGTACTCTACTGTTCTCTCTTTGCATTGTAGCGGTGTGCCTAGTGCTCTTTGTTGCCAATTGTTTTTCTCCCAGTCTTCTCATTCAGATACAGTATGTTCCTCCTGATGGGAGCTAATCAGATGGCCATTTGTTAGGGACGTTTTCCAGGAAGCTGAGTTCAGCTGGGCGTAAACAACATTCGTTGTATATACTAATTGGAGACAAATTTACAAAAATTCTACTTGCCAGAAGTAATTCTGGTGAGTACAGAAGATTTAACAGCATCCAACAAGTGTTATTCTTTCAGCTCTAGTCTTATGCATCGCCAGGCAAATAGATGATGAAGAAATAACTGATGAAAGGCAGTGAAAGTCACTGGATTTCTTGCATTTTATTTACTGTGATTTTTTCTAGTCTCCTCAAGTTCTTTTAGCTGCTTTAATCAGGATGCTGCTGGGAACAAGGGTCTATATAATCCATGTGTATTCTGCTGTATTAGTGACTATAGCGATGGAGTTATAACTTGTAGGTGTGACTGGAGCAGCCTCTTAAGGCAGGGTGTGGAGACTTTACCCTGTACAAAAAGTTCAATTGACTTGGGTTTAGAAGTAGAAAAGCAGTGTGATGTGATGGATAGAGTGGAGAACTAAGAGCTGGTAAACCCAGAATTCTGTGCCTTTGCCATGGACTTTCTGCATGATGTGGCTACGTCATTTGGTTACAGATTTTTGTAAATCAGTGGCATCCCATTTTTTATTTCACAATGAGCAATAAATATGGGCATAATTTTGAATTCCCAGGCAATGACATGTATCATAGATGCCTGATTGCTGGAGTGCAGCTATGCAAATAGCCTAGGCTGGCTGTTTGAACCAGAAGCCCTGCCTAAGAATAGACAGAGCAGCAGACTCCTAGTCTCTGCACCTGTGAAAGGGAATAAAAATTCCTGTCTTTGCCTCTTGGTTGCTTTGATACTTTCTTGTTTAGTGCTTGTGCTTTTTTATTTTCATTGTGCCATGGAAATATATATATATATATAAAAGGTTTAACACTCCAGAAGAGCCTGTCAAAGTGATGAACAGGTGGTTTGATGTGCTATCTCCCTTTTCTCCTTTGTGAGTTCTCCTCGTACAAGTGATCGCTGTGGGGTAATGATCTGGTGGTTAAACACGTGCCAATAGCGGTAATTGAATACTGATCCGTAACTGCCATGGCAGTTTTTGTAAATTCACCTGTCTCTCTCAGGTTTAATACTTTAAGGTTTAAGGGCAAGTTGGCATAACAAATAAGAATGTGAGAGGGATTTCAGAGCTCCATCCAGCACTCCACAAATGCTTTTTTGGGGTTTTAGGACCTGGCAGACTCTGCTTAATGATGATGTCTTGGCATAACTATCTGAAGAAGCCATTATTCTACAAACACTGATGTTTTAATCTTTTGAGGCCCTCTGACCTGTTAAATATGCCTGTGATCTAGAAATGT